CCTGGAAGGAAAGTTATGATCAACCTAGATAGCATATTAAAAAGCAGAGACATTACTTTGTCAACAAAGGTCCATCTGGTCAAGGCTATGGTTTTCCCAGTGGTCATGTATGGATGTCAGAGTTGGACTGTGAAGAAAGCTGAGCACCGAAAAATTGATGCTTTTGAACTGTGGTGTTGGAGAAGACTCTTAAGAGTCCCTTGGACTGCAAGGAGATGCAACCAGTCCATCCTAAAGGAGATCAGTCCTGGGTGTTCATTGGAAGGACTGATGCTGAAGCTGAAACTCCAGTACTTTGGCAACCTCATGAGAAGAGTTGACTCATTGGAAAAGACCCTGATGCTGGGAGGGATTGGGGGAAGGAGGAGGAGGGGATGATAAGAGGATGAGATGGCTGGATGGCATCACCGACTTGATGGACATGAGTTTGAGTAAACTCCGGGAGTTTGTGATGGACAGGGAGGCCTGGCGTGCTGCAGTTCCTGGGGTCGCAAAGAGTCAGACATGACTGAGTGACTGAACTGAACTGAATTTATCTCTCTAGATGACTTTTGTCACTCAGTGATGGAGACATAAAATGTAGTTGGGGCTCAAAATACTAGCCAAATGCAGTAAACTGAATTCACAGAGTGAGGTACAGTCATGTGAGTCTGGATAGCAGGGGGCCCTTTGATCCGAATATATTTGGTTCTTAAATTTCAGAGAGCAATTCCTGAGTTTAGACACTGACTGATTAATCTGAATGCTTCTCAGAATCATCCCGGCTCCTAGGTTTGGATACTGAGGAATATCTGTGTGTGTTTTTAAGGGAGATCTAGTGCACTTCTGCATTTCTGTCTGGAAGACTTAGGATGCATTATAGAGTCACAGAAGCCTAAGAAGTCCTCCTCTCTATGCTGGCCACTGGGATTCAAGGTGGATAAGATGTGGTTCTCAGTCTTGATTGGTAAGAAAGGAAGATGAGAATTAACTCGATAGTGTCTACCATGTGTCTGGTCTTTTGCACACATTACCTCTGGCCTATCACAAACCTTCTGACACCGAGACAAAATACTACAATCAGTCACTGGCAGTGCCAGAACATTCCAACATATAGGAAAAGCAGCTGATTTAACATGATCACAGGAGGACTCAGTCTAAGGGGGTGTTCACATTAAGCCTCTGCATGTTTAAGGGAAGCCAAGAGCCACCAGAGCAAGTAGGATGTAACTGTGGCATATTGAAGAGTTCTCATATCAGTGTGAGCCACATGCACCTAGAAATTCACAGCAGTGCACCACTCCTGGTCTCCATAAGATTCTCCATCTTACACCCAAAGGGGAACCCCAAACAGGCTTGCTCCCTTCATGCTCTTCTATCAAGTCCATGGAAAACGCCTTTGGGAACCTTAGGGCCTACTTTGGGACAAATGAAGATGCCATGAGCAGAGCAGACTGAAGGTCCATGAGACCACAAACAGCAGACAGACCAGGACATGTCACACGATGAAAAACTTACATGTTGGTCTTCTAGAGCCGCATCTTTCAATGAGGGTCTGGGAGACTGTAGAGATGGATCCAAAGACTCGGAGATCAGACTGGGAGTTCCTGGACCTGGAGACGGTTCCGGCTGCTCAGTCCCCTTCTCAGAAAGGGAAAAAGTATCTACCCTGGATTTCAGGAACTTAGAGGAAGTCCTCCTCTCCACCGTTTTGCCCTAAAATTAAAAAATTAAGAGGAATTCATTTACATTTGATAATATTGTGTTAGTCGCTCAGTCAACTCTTTCCTACCCCATGGACTGTTGCCTGTCAGGCTCCTCTGTCCATGGGATTCTCCAGGCAATAATACTGGAGTGGGTTGCTACTCCCTTCTCCAGGGATCTTCCCGACCCAGGGATTGAACCCGGGTCTCCAACAATGCAGGCAAATTCTTTAACACCTGAGCCACCAGGGAAGCCCTCAGTAATATTAAACCAACCTAAATACTAATCAAGAAAAGTTATCTGGTCTTAAATTATGATTGAAAAAAAAAAAGATCCCTTGGTCTAGGATTCTTGTTGAGAAATCTAGTCAACTCAACACTGAACTAAGCATTCTGTTCTCTTCAAACCCTGTGTTAGGTGCTGGGGTATTTAACACACATGTGCTCATGTGTTAAAAATGGAAGCCATTGACATAAGTACCATGGGCACTTAGGGAAGCAAGAAGTACAGAAGTTGCTGAGAGAATCAGCACAGTCTCTAAAGACAAAACAAGAATGGAGAGAAACCTCATGAGACAAGCAGAATTTTAAAAAACAGCTGGGGAGATTATTCCAGAAAAGAAAATTATTGACATAGAGGTGGACACAAATGCCTGAAAAGGTAAGAGTTGCTCATCAAATTTCACTGACCACTGTCACTGTCACAGTATCATGTGCCCTGGCTGGGACAAGATGCGTAGGAACCAGCCCTAGACAGAGAACCCATGAGTCATATCTTCATGGTCAACTGTATGGAGGACTTAGAGTGCATTAGAGAGTCACATGGGCCAAAAAGTTTCCCAAGTGAAAATTCAATATTCCACCTGTTAAAGTAATTAAACAAGGGGACCATGAGGCTGGGGTGGCTCTGATGTCTTGGCAGTCTGTGCCTGCAAACCGAAACCTAAGCCACAATCACTGCACTCAGAACCGAGAAAAATCTTAGGACCAACCAACCACAAGCAGTCAACCAGGCTTCCCCAATTAGGCAGGTGCTTAAGCTACAGCCAATCTAATCATGCTCTTTGAACATGTGTGACACATCACTGCACAGTTTCCCTCCCTTACAAGGTCATATAAAATAATGTGCAGATGTTTTCACAATTTTCTGACCCCAGGAAACAAGATGCAGCTGATTCACTCAGTGGTAAACAAAACATTAGAGAAAAAAAATCTCAGGATGCAAAACTCATCAAATGAGAACTGCTCTGGTTAAAGCAGCTCAGGTGGAAGAAGATGACCCAAGACCCTATCTGGGACCCCTCTCATCCTATGTCCTGAGGTGAGTCACTTGGAGAAACCCAGTGAAGCATCAGGGTACCATATGATACTGCAGAACTAGAAAATTATGCAGGATGTATTGTGTCTTATTCCACTTGGGAGACAAAATTCACACAACTCTTTAAGGAAATCACCACTCACAACTTCATATCTGTAATATGCACAATGAAATGACTGGTGGTACAAAGACAGCAATTTCACTCAGCAGCCAAGTGCTGACAATCCCAAAGGGACAAGGGGGCAGCCATCCCTCCTCTGCTGTGAGAGAGGGGCCACACAGTGAGGATGGACCCCAACTCATCCAAGGGTACTCACCAGTGGACAAGTAGTTGTTTTGTTAGTACTAAAACTGGGGGTAGCGTCGTCAAAGGAAGCAATAAGAGAACCCGAAAACATCAAGGGATGGGTGAAATAGGTTATTCTCCTGCCCACTGATCCTGTGCTCATAAAACTATCAACACTGGGATTCACACACTAGAATGGCCCCCTCTGCACATGAAATCAACTGCTCTCAAGCTTGAGGAACCTAACCACTGCCCCCCCACCCCTGCCTCTGCCACCATTCCTACAAGAGTGGAGAGGAGTTGACACATGGAACTGCTTCTAGAGAGACAAAGGTTCTGCATTTTAATAATCTTTCTTGGAGCAAAATTTCATTTTATAAGTCAGGGAACTGACCAAGGGCCTGTGGAACAGTCAGGGGTTAACAACAAAGGTATTGAGGCCCAGAGATAAACAATCCAAGGAGTGAAGCATTAAACTACCACCAAGTCTGAAAACTTCTCACTAATCTCTACCCCACCCCCAACCATGCTAGGAGCTGTGGGTTGGATGATGCCCCCTCCTTAAAAAGATAAGCTCAAACATGACACCTGGGAACATGACCTTATTTGGAAACTGGGTATTTGCAGATTTAATCAAGTTAAGATGAGGTCATACTGGAGCAGGGTGACCCTACATCCAATATGACTGATGTCCTTATGAGAAGAGACTCAGACAGACATGGGAACAATGGCCAAGTGGCATCAGAGGCAGAGACCACAGCACTGCAGCTGGAAGCCAAGGAATACCAAGGAAGGCCTGCGAATACAAGAGGCTGGAAAGAAGGAATGTCCCCTGGAGCCTTCAGGGAGAGCACAACCCTACTAGCACAAAGATTTGGGACCCACAGCTTCCAGAACAGGGAGATGATAAACTTCTGTTGAAGTCACCCAGTTTACCATACTTCATCATGGCAGCTCTAGAAACTGATAATCTAGCCTGAGCTCATACTTCTGTCTTCTCAGTTTACTGACTTGGAATTGCTTCTTGTGACCTCTAGTGACCATCAGAGGAGTCTCTTAACTCCCACATCAGACCACATCCCTCCTCTGCTTTGGACCATCCAAGACTTCCATCCCACTTCTGGGTCCACTGCCCACTGCTTGGAGACCAGCTCCCTCCTGTCCCCCTGCTCACTCTCCTCAGACAGGCTGGTCTCCCCGCCATTCCTCCAATCTGCCAGGTCAGCTCCTTCCTTAGAACCCCCTGCCTCAGACCCCCTCCCCCAGGTGACAGTGTGGCCCCCACCTTCCTGTCACTCTGGCCCCATAAGGCACCAGCTTCTCAAGGAGGCAGCCAGGATGTCACCCCCTCTGTCATATTTGTTCCCATAAGAATAGGAGCCCCATGAGGGCAGGGCCTTATCCTCCTGCCACACAGGCTCCCACATGTATTGGGCGCATAGAGACATGGGCAGGGAAACCAGCAACTGGAGACACCAGCAGAGTGGGCGTCTCTGACCCAGTGCTCAGCTACCCAACCTCACTTCTGATGTTAATGGAAGATGCTCTTTAGACAAACTATGTATGACAATCACCTAGATACTAACAGATCTTAGAATCTCTAATTTCTAAGTAGTACACTTTGACTTAAGTCATGGAAGAGGAAAATAAAAAGTTCTAAATAAAATTGCATCATTATCCTTAACAGATTTCATTAGAACAGTGATGATTCAACCTTGTGATTGCACTTTTATACACTTTAGGGTTTACATGGCTTAGAATGCAATAGTGACATTTCTACAGGGCTTTGGATTCATCCTCCAAGGCATGAACACCAGCTCTGAGAAGAAGGGGGTGAAAAACTGAGGGAGAAAAGGGTGTTTACCACGAACCCAAGAAGAGCGACCTGCAGGGAGGTCTGTCCTTCAACACACCTGGGTGCTAGCAATTCCACAGTCTTCTAGAAATTACTCACATCTTTCAACATCAGAATCAGACTTGCATCTTTTAGGTACTGCAATTGATGAGTGACTAAGACTGTGATCTTCTCCTTCAAGGCCTGACAAATACACCTACAAATGTAAAAGGTACAGAATGCAAAAGCACATTAATGGGGTGCTTCAAATGGAAAACTTATATTTTGAAGACAACGAGACAAAGACCATACAGCAGTCAAAGATCTGCAGTTTAAATACCAAATAAATAATAAAAATTAAATAAATGTAAATCAATTAATCTGACTAGCTTCTTAAATTTATTGGCAGCAAATGTGAATCTAGTGCTACAAAAAATTCTTAAAACCAGTCCAGTGAAGAAGGCACTAACAGCTAAGTCTTTTCCTTTAAAACTCAGCTTTACAATTATTTGCATGTTTCATAAACGAAAACAATTGAGTAATACTGAGATTCCAAAACTTGACTAAACTAAAACACTATTTTATCGCTATTTGGGAATGGGTGAGGAGCGATCCATGTCATTTTAAAATGTGCACATTCTTAGTTTTCTAGTGATTATTTATAATTAATGATGTAAATATTCACAACAAAAAATTAATAGATTCTTGGTAATCTTTCCCACAGTGCATTTGCTAGATACTTGTTCCCAAAGAATGTCAGATAGATAATGAATGCTGGCATGATCTCCAACATTCCCAGTTCCAACCAGGAAGCAAGTCTTCTTTCATTAGGACTGCTGATGCTAAGTTGCTTCAGTCATGTCCGACTCTGTGAGACCCCACAGACAGCAGCCCACCAGGCTCCCCGGTCCCTGAGATTCTCCCAGCAAGAACCCTGGAGTGGGTTGCCATTTCCTTCTCCAATGCATGAAAGTGAAAGGTGAAGTTTCTCAGTCGTGTCTGACTCTTAGCGACCCCATGGACTGCAGCCTATCAGACTCCTCTGTCCATGCGATTTGCCAGGCAAGAGTACTGGAGTGGGGTGCCATTGCCTTCTCCATCATTAGGACTGAATGTCTTCCAAACATGAAAATAAAAGAATGGAATCCAAATGGCCCTAATCACAGTGGAAATCACCCAATGGCTCAATGGACACACCTATTCTTTATAGCCAAGACACCCCTCATTATTCAACCTTAAATTTTTTTCACAGTAAAAAAAAAACAAAACAAACTGATCATACATTTTAAATCCAGACCCCTAGAGACTCAGCCCGTCTCATCCCACAGGGTCCACAACCCTACAGGGAAGTGAGTGGACAGATCTGGGGCCCCAGTGACCGCAGGCAGGGTGCCAGGCAAGTACTCTGAGTGCCCTAGCCCCTCACAGAGCAAATCTCAGGAACCTGGGCCAGAGTTCAGTCTGTGAGTGAGTCAGATGGAGAGTCTGGAGGCAATAGACTGCAACTCAGTCCCTCTCATGAGCCTGACAATGTCAGATGAGTGACTCAATCTTAGTTTCTCCATTTCAAGTCAAGGTCAGTGACAACTCAACCATATGTTCTAAGAAAAGAAGCCACTAATAATGCTCAGTAAACGTCAGCCCCCTTTTCCACTCCTCCCTAACCATGAGTGGTCATGTGCTTTGGACTCAGGACAGAAAAGTCCTAAGGGGACATTCTGGCTACTGGGTCTGTGATCAGAAACACGTCCCTGGGATGTAAACACATACATCATCGCTTTGTTAAGTCCAAAAGGATTAATTTTTACCTTTTGACATGTGTTAGCTCAGTGTTCATACCTAAGTTTCTTGACTAACACCTTTTCAAACTTAGTACTAAAGGTTCAAAATAGATTTTTTCTCCTTAATTCATAATTACCTGCCAATATTCCCTAAAGATGGATGTTTATAAAATCTGATGGGGTGTTACATCCAAGACGAACCCACATAAAAGTTTTAAAATGTTTTCTTCCTAACATCCCATCACAGATTCGGTAATACAAATAATTACAATGAAGTGATTAGTTGATGACTTTGAATTTTTCCTAAATAATACTTTTATCCAAATCACTAGAAAAATACACTATTTTCCAAGCTTTTAAAGATCTCCAAGTCATGCCATAGAAGTTATTGAGTCAGCAACCAGCTGTTTAACTGTTATTCCTATATAAAGGCTGTGTTAATCCTGTAATCCCACATATAATCCTATACAAGGGCTGTGTTAAGAGGCAACACATCCTGTGATGGAAGGAATACAAATGAGACAGTCCCATGATGGAGGGGATACAAATGAGACAGAGTCCCATTTCATTCAGTGAAGACAGTCTTCATTCATTCAATCAGCAGAGGTTTGTTGAGGAGACAGGCACAGTCCTAAATGCAGAGGATACACCCACACATCAGAACGGAAGACAATACTCTGCACCGTGTATAGGGGACAAGTATAGAAAATGTACTATCAGGCTGTGACATGTGCTCTGAGGGTAAAAGGAGGACTGCTAATTTAGATGGGGTCACTCAAGAGCCCTGAGACTACCTGGGGAAGCATCCTTGAAGAAGACACAGCAGGTGCAGTGGTCCTGGGACAGAATATGTTGGGCTGAGGTGCCTCCCTGCATTCACAGCTTGGGCACTGGTGGAGGGACTCAAAAATGGTCAAGTGCACCCACTGAGGGCTGTGGGAAAGCAGAGAGGCATGGGTGCCCCCTGGAGAAGCAGGACAGAAAGGCAGGGCCCGTCTTCCACCTTCCTTCTGTGTCCTGGCACACTGCTCTCTGGCTCTGGGACAGAGGGGTTAGTATGAACAGACAGATAGGGGTGAGAAAGGACCCCCACAGAGCCAGCACAACTAGACACCGAGCGGGTGTGGGGATGAGCTGGAAAAGCCGATGGGGGCAGACAGCAAAGAAGCCTGTTCTCTGAGCACCTGGAGCTGCTTCCTGAACATGAGGGGTGGGGTGTCCATGAAGGGCTAGAGCAGGAGGGTGAGCCGTGTAGACAGCACCGTGGGAGCCTGATCAGGACAGACCTGAAGAGCTGATGATGCAGGATGTGGGGGTCTGGGGGTGGGGCTGAACCAGGACGGGATCCACAGCATGATCCCATGGCATGATGAGACTGCATCAGTTCACATATGCCTCTCACTTTCTGTGGGTGACAGAACTCACTTAGTGTTCACAGTATAAAGTTGTAGAACTCACAAAACTTAATGACCTTCCTTTATGACTGTAGGAAACTCTTAATGGCAAGTAGAAGTGTGATTCATTCACTTTAAATACAAAACCCTCCCCAAGACTAAGCTTCCACACGACTATCATCTCTCACAGCATACTGTTCCATCCGATTCTCTGACTTGAGAACACTCTCCAGTTGCTGCTGAGTGGTTTCATAAATTGCTTTCACGCTCTCTGCTTTAAGTTTCCCTAGAGAATGTGGTTCTGATTACAAACAACAGTCTTAAGCTTGTTTCTATCAAGTATATATCCAAAGGGGAACACTCAAAATATTTGATAAGATTTTATAAATATCTTCTGTTTTCAAAAAGAACTCAGGAAAACGTCTGTGATCAGCATACTGTACTTGGCACCAAAATGCCTTGCTCTCCCCTCCCTGTGACATGGATGCAACGATCAGTAGAAACTGCTCCTGCCCTGATGGAGAACTTGTGCAGATGCACACAAGATGGGTGGCACATATCAGGGCAGGGTGCTGGGAACAAGGAGGCTGAGCTACCTCAGGATGCCAGAGGGTGGGGGTGGGGAGTCCCTGTCACTGTGCCTGTCACTGATGATAAGACACAAGGCACTTCTCTAAGGGCAAATTCATCAAGCTGTGAACAGGGGAGGCTGGGAAATGAGGGTCAGATCAGTGCACTGGAGACCATGCCATGTGTCATCTGCCGTGTTCTCTTATGTTCTCACAGATTCAGTGCTACTATGCAGGTTTGTGTGTATGTGTGTTACAATATACCTAACATGAACTTCACCATTTTAGCCATATAGTGGCATTAAGTACATTCACATTGTTGTGCAGCCATCACCACCATCCATCTCCACAACTCATCACCCCAACACTGAGCACATTTTATATACAGGCAGGTTCCACCAAAGTCAAACAACCCCCACTTAGTGGACATGGAACCCCTGCTCCTTGTGTCCAGGGCTCAGAGCCCCTCACATGTCTGTTGACCCTATGAAACCTCTTTACTTTGCTTTTCTGGGCCTGCTGTAAATTAATCATGTCCCCTCAAAGTCACATGTTGTCACCTAGGTCATCAGTACCTTAGAATTTGGTGTCATGGACTTTAAAGAAGTAATGATTACCCTTAGTTATACTGGACCTAATCTAATTTGGTCCTGGTGCACTTAGATGAAGAGGAGATTAAGACATAATGACAGAGACACAGGCATGTAAATCAATGAAGTTAGAACACACCCCCCTCACCATGCACAAAAATAAACTCAAAATGGTTTAAACACTTAATCATAAGACGTGACACCATAAAACTCCTAGCAGAGATCATAGGCAAAATATTTTCTGACATAAATTATACCAATGTTTTCTTAGGTCAGTCTCCTAAGGCAATAGACATCTAAGCAAAAATATACAAATGGAGGTTTCCCTGGTGTCTCACTAGAATTCACCTGCCAGAGCAGGAGACACAGAATCCCTCCCTGGTCCAGGAAGATTCCCACACACAAAGCAATTCAACCCATGTGCCACAAATAATGAACCTGTGCCCTGGAGTCCAGGAGCTGCAACTACTAAGCCCACATATCCCAGAGCCCATGCTCTGCAGCAAGAGAAGCCACTGCACTGAGAAGTCCACGTACCACAGCTGGAGAGTAGCCCCGGCTCGCTGCAACTAGAGAAAAACCCTCACAGCAATGAAAACCCAACACAGCCATGAATAAATAATAACTTTTAATTAAAAAAATGGAAATGAATCAAACTTACAAGATTTTGCACAGCAAAGAAGACCATAAACACAATGAAGAGACAACCTACAGAATGGGGAAAAATATTTGCAAATGATGTGACCAACAAGGGCTTAATTTCCAAAATATACAAACAGCTCATACAACTCAACAACAACAACAAAATCCAATTTAAAAAAATGGGCAGAAGAACTAAATACACATTTCCCCAAAGGACATATATGGATGGCTAATAGGCACA